AGATATACACAGACTAAAGGTGAAAGGTTGGGAAAAATCATACCACACACATGGACTGCGGAAGCAAGCAGGGGTTTCCGTACTCATATCAAATAAAGTAGACTTCAAGACAAAGTTAATAAAAGTGATAAAGGTGGACATTAAATACTGCTTAAGGGAACCATATACCAACAAGACTTAGCAATCATAAATATATATGCCCCCCCCCCCCCAATGGAGCTGCTGTGTTCATCAAACAAATTCTTCTCAAGTTCAAGAGTCAAATAGATCACAACACAATAATCTTGGGTGACTTTAACACACCTCTCTCACCACTGGATAGATGTTCCAAACAAAACTTGAATAAAAAACTATAGATCTCAATAATACAATTAATAACTTTGACTAAACTGACATATATAGAATATTTCAGCCTGCACCAAGGAGTACACTTTCTTCTCAGCAGCACATGGATCCTTCTCTAAAATAGACGATGTAATATGCCACAAAGCAACTCTTAGTAAATACAAAAATGTAGAGATACTACCATGCATTGTATTAGATCATAATGTAATGAAATTGGGAATCAATGACAAAATCAAAAATAAAAATTACTCCAACACCTGGAGACTTAATAACGTGCTACTGAATGATCAATGCAGAAGACATCAAAGAGTAAATTTAAAAAAATTTAGAGGTGAATGAGAACACAGATACAAAATATCAAAATCTCTGGGACACTATGAAAGCAGTACTAAGAGGAAAATTCATTGCATGGAGTTCATTCCTTAAAAGAAGAAAAAGTCAACAAATAAATGACCTCACATTACATCTCAAAGCCCTAGAAAAAGAAGAACAAACCAATACCAAAAGCAGTAGAAGCCAAGAAATAATAAAATTAGTGCTGAAATCAATGAAATTGAAAACAAAAAAAAAAATTGAAAAAATTGACAGAACAAAAAGTTGGTTCTTTGAAAAAATAAATAAAATTGACAGAACCTTAGCTACGCTAACAAAGAGAAGGAGAGCGAAAAATCAAATTACCAGCATACGTGATGAAAAAGGTAATATCACAACAGACACTATAGAAATACAGAGGATAATTAGAAAATATTTTGAAAACTTATACTCCAATAAAATAGAAGATATTGAAGGCATCCACAAATTTCTTAAGTCATATGATTTGCCCAGATTGAATCAGGATGATCTACACAATTTAAACAGACCAATATCAAATGATGAAATAGAAGACACCATCAAAAGCCTACCAACCAAAAAAAGCCCAGGACCAGATGGATACACAGCCAAGTTCTATAAGACCTTTAAAGAAGAACTAATACCAATACTCTTCAATTTATTTCAGGAAATAGAAAAAGAGGGAGCACTTTCAAACTCATTCTATGAGGCCAATATTACCCTGATTCTAAACCAGGCAAGACACATTAGAGAAAGATAACTTCAAACCAATATCTCTAATGAATACAGATGCAAAAATTCTCAATAAAATTCTGGTAAATCAAATACAAAAACATATCAAAAAGATAGTACAACATGATCAAGTGGGATTCATCCCAGGGATGCAAGGTTGGTTCAACATACGGAAATCAATAAATGTAATTCATCACATGAATAGACTTAAAGATAAGAACCATATGATTATCTCAAAAGATGTAGAAAAAGCATTCAATAAAATACAACACCCCTTTATATTCAAAACACTAGGATAACAGGAATATATCTCAACATCGTAAAAGCTTTCTATGCTAAGCCTCCATCATTGTAAATGGAGAAAAATTGAAAGCATTCCCTCTAAAAATTGGAAAAAGACAGGGATACCCTCTTTCAGCACTTCTATTCAACATAGTTATTGAAACACTGGCCAGAGCACAGCCACATCAATGTTTATAGCAGCACAATTCAAAATAGTTAAACTGTGGAACCAATCTAGATGCCCTTCAGTAGATTAATGAATTAAAAAAAATGTGGCATATACACACAATGGAATATTACTCAGCAATAAAAGAGACAAAATCAATGGCATGGATGGCATTAGAGAAGATAGTGCCAAGTGAAGTTAGCCAATCCCCCCCAAAACAAATGCCAAATGTTTTTTTCCATGTAAGGTAACTGAGTCATAGTGGGTAATATTCTTTCAAATTTCCTTTTACCCTCTTTCCCTTTTTATGTTGGCACTATTTTATTTACTACAACTTTAAAAAAATTCTTTATCTTACCATCTATTCTATTAAATCCCCCCACATAATACTTCACTTCTTGAATCTCCATGTTGTTGCCATAGTCTACACTGCTTGATCTTTAGACTTGCTGCACAGTTGTCCTTTTGCCTTTTTCTAAGGCTGGTACATTTTTTTCCTGAACCCCAATTTGTCCTTGTTTTCCTGGAGTATATGGATTAATGATATTCTAAAAAATCATCAGGAGGATAATGTTCTATTTGAAATAACATTATTTTTGCTGTCATGGTTGATTGATAATTTGAATGAGTACAGAATTTTACTGAAAAATATGTCATTAAAACATTGAAAATACTCTGTCATTGTCATCTAGTATCCATTGTTACTGATAGAACTGATCCTCATTTCTTTGTTGATAACATGTCCTTTATGTTTAAAAACTTTTGGGATTGATTATGATGATGAGGATGATAATTACATCATAATGTCTCCAAATAAGAATTTTTTTCATCTATTTTCTAGTACCTTGTGAATATCCTCATTCTGAAAACTTATTTTCTTCTATATTAAAGAAACAAAAACAACATAAGTTTCTTATTTCATTTTACTTTTACATTTTTTTCTCTTCTACTTCAAAGTTGTAACTGTTAGATAGGCTGTCCTGGTTAATCTTTTCTCTCAAATTTTCTACTTGTGTCTTTCTTTGTATGCTATGATCTAGAAGATTTCTTTAATATTTAGTATTTCAATTTTTAAAATTTAAGTAGTACCATCAATGTCTAAGAGCTTTTTTTTTAATACTATGGTTGTTCTTTTTCCAGACAACTTTATTTATATCTTAAAGCTATAACATGTTCCAAATACCAGAATATATAAATTGGAATTCTTCAAAATATTCTTTTTTATTTCATGAATTATATTTGCTTTCTTTAAAGTTAGTTTTCCATTGTCTTTCTTTTTACAATGCTGATTTTCCTATTAATTCTTCCCCTGGTGTTTAAGCATAAATGATATTGATAAAGTTTTCCTTTAGTGAGTAGGATGTCTGCCAGTTCTCTCTCCTATGTAGTAATTATAAATAAACAACAGCAATATATATATGGCAGGGCCAGGAATGCCAAATACCAGATTTTACTATGTTTTATTATAGGATGTATAGTCAAGTAGCAAGTTCTCAGGATGCTTTCCCTGAATAACATAACAGAAATGGTTTTACTCTGTGTTACCAACATAAAAGCTTTCACTTTCTCTGTACTAACTATTGTTAGTTATTTTTGCTGGCTTAGGAGGCTGAGGCAGAAGGACTATAAATCTGAGGCCAGCCTGGAAAATTTTGCAATTCCACTCAAAACAAAAAAAATAAAAAGAACTGGGGATTTAAATCAGTGGTAGAGCAATTGCCTATCATGTACAAGGCCCTGAGTTCAATCCCCCAGTACCACAAATATAAACAAACAAACAGTTCTGGGAAAATTGGATATCCATATGCAGAACACTGAAATTTGATGCTTCTCTTATTGTATAAAAGTCAACTCAAAATTGATCAAAGACCTAAAGGTAACACTGAAACTGTGATATTATTAGAAGATAGGTGAAACAGTTTGTACAAATAGTGCAGACAATGATTTTGTGGACAGGACCCCAAAAGGACAAGAAATATAAGCAAAAATTGAAAGGTGGGATTACATCAAATTGAAAAGGTGATGTACTTCAAAGGAAACAATCAATAGTGTAAAGAAAGAACCTACAGAATGAGAGAAAATATTTGCCAACTCTTCTGCAACAAATCCCTATTAAACATGCATTTGGTCTCCCTGAAGACAAATAAATCCAGTGGTGGAGATATTCACACATGCTAAGGTATATATACTTCTTTTGCTAGTGCTAGAAGAGGATCTTCTCCAAATCTGAAATCTGTTTCCTTGAACTTTACATAGAACAAATGTACTTGATGGGTCTTTTTGCATTTGGAGATAACCTAGCAGCTTTCTCTCTTCAAGGGGAATCCTCTGAAATTCCACCAATACTCCTCATGCCTTCAAGTTATCTTCATGATTTTTCACTTCTCTCAAATAATTACAACTTGACTGAGATCTTTTTAAAAAAATATTTTTTAGTTGTTGAAGGACCTTTATTTTAAAAATATTTTTATATGCGATGCTGAGAATCGAACTCAGTGCCTCACACATGCAAGGCAAGTGCTCTACCACTGAGCCATAGCCCCAACCCCCTGAGATTTTAAAATGCTCAGTCTAGAACTTAATAGTAGGACTTCACATGTGGTCTGGCAAGTGAAGAGTATATTTGGATCTTTATTGGCTGCTTCTCTATAAGAGAGTTCAATTAGGCATCAGGACACATTACCAAAGGGAGAAGTGGGATTGGAGTGGGAGAATTACAACACATCAACTCATAACATCACTGCATCCTTGTTGTTTAGTTCAGAACTCTACACACATACACCACACAGTTCTTTACATAAGTTTAAAATCATTTCCTGTCTTTTCAACTAAGCTAAGGAATCTTTGGGCTTTTGTTTTTTTGGCAGAGGTCCCTGACCAATGAATTGAGTGGCAGAGGTAACTTTAGAAGTACTGAGCTGAGAATCTACAAGTTAGGGAAAGTGGGACTTGAGAACAGAGAATGTTGTATAAAGTGTACAACAGTCAGAGGGCTCTGGTTCCTGACGACGGTAGCAATTACCCAGTTATTCATTCATATTGCTCTTCTTTTCACCTATAACAGGAATTATTTCCTCCATGTAGTCACCAAAGGTGGGTGGTTGGAAGACGAGGCCAAACGAAGCAATTTCAGGGAAAGACTCACAAGTAGAGAGCAGGGGACCCCAGGCTTGGCTTGGTGCGGGTACTCAGACCATCACCGAGTCCGCGGGAGCGTGCGCCCTCCCGGAGCGCGACCTCGGGCCTTCGCTCCCCGGAGCCGCGCGGGCGGGAGGCGGGGCGGCCGCGCGCGTACGCGGGCGGGGGCGGAGGGCAGCTGAGACGACGTGTCGACGTTGGCGCCGGTGCGGGCGATGACGTGTAGGCCCGCGCCGGCTCAGCGCCTTCACTCCTTGCCGGGTCTGTGCGTCTGTCCCGCGGTGGGGCAGCCCTCGAGTGTGGTGCCTGGTGACTGGGAGTGACCTCAGAAGGGCCCGCGTGGGGCGCGGAGGAGAGGGGACGCGCAGCTGCCCACCGGCATCCTCGTCACGGCCCTCCGCTCCCCACCAGGCGTGGGAAGTAGAGATAAAACCGAAAGGGAGGGAGGCGCGTGGGCTGGAGCGGGCGGAGTAATGGGAACCGCGTGAGCGCGGCCAAGAGGTGAGGAGGTGGAGGAGTGGGAGGGAGGAGGAGAGGGGTGCAGCGGTCGGGGACGGGCGGGAGGTGGGGCCGCAAGACCCCTGGGCCGGCCTTAGTCAGACTGGGCAAGCCCGGACCTGTCACCCCTCTTCTGGCCTGGGACGCATCTGCCGGGACCTATCCCGGCTCAGTCCAGGAGTTTGAAGGTGGGGGTGGGGATGAGAAGAGCCACTTACTTCCCAGGTGTAAAGGCCACAACGTGGCCACTTGGGGTTATTCTTGTGTCTTGTGTGTGGGTAATTTGTTTTCATTATTATTATTTTGGTTTCAAAGCCGTGGTGAGAGTTTCCTTTGGTTAGATTTTGGGAGGAAAATCTGCCTCCTGGTATATCACCCCCTGGCACACACACACACTGAAAAGTGAACAGACTGGGTAAGGAATTTTCTATGGTGAACTGTGGATGAATTTAGCAATTAAGGAGTCTAGAATGACATTTTGAAACAAACAAATTTGTTTATTTGTGTGCTAGGGAGGTGACATGGGTATGAGGGTGGTTTTAAAAGATAGATTACGTATCATGAATTAACTTATTAATGGAATTCAGAATGCTCTGGTATTTGTTATTGTTTGGTTTAAAAGAAACATAATTTTAGCGACAATTAAAAGTTTGACGTAAATGATATCACATGGGCAGTTAAAATTGATAATCTTACCTAAAGTTATGGTTAGATTGAATAGTAGATATCTCCATAACCAGATTTCATGTTTAATTTTTTTTCTGATTATCACAAAAAGAAAGCACAAAAGTTGAGAACTCAACTTTTGATATTAGTCTAGATTGTGCTTCAGTCCATGTTACACCTTTTATTTTTAATGAGGTTATAATAGTCTTACATGAGGAAAATGATTCCTAGAGATGCCAGTTAAGTTTAAGCTTTGTCTTAAAGTGACTTAGTTTTTATGACTTAGCTTTCTTGACCCCTGTTAGTTTTTTTGTCATTCATTCATTCATGTCTTCAAATGTGTCAAGCAATATGCAAATCTGGCAAATAAAAATACAGTCTGTGTTCATGGAATTTTGTATAGTAGTGGCACCCTTTTAAGAGTGAATCTTGACAAGGATTCTTTTTCATACCATGAATATCTAGTTGATCAAGGCAAAGCTTTTTACAAGAATATACTATTATAGATGTTTATGTATAACTGGCATTTAAAGAGGAACAGCATTAGTTGATATTGTCTTTGGTTAAAAAGACAGTATACATGCTAGTGGTGTGCCCTTTAAGAGGAGTAAGTTTTTCTTTTTGCAAAGTTGGTGTAAATATAAAGTTCACAATTGGAAATCTACCAGAAAAAAAATTAGTATTTTTCCATTCTGTACATTGGTCTGATTAATTTACCATATGTTAATAACTTGTGATTTACATACATAATAACATAAAGCATATTTCTCAGGGACATGTCTAAAATAATTTTATTACTCAGTAATACCTTCCTTGAGGAGATAGTTGACATAAGCACTTTCAGCATGAAATATGTTGTGATATAAGGTGGTATAGTTTTCAACTTTAAGATGTCTACCTGAAATTGAAATTTTAGCAAAATCAGCATTTATTGATAGAAAAAGTACAGAATTATCAAGGAGAGTAAGATGCATATTAAATATCCCTAATCCCCAAATCCAAAATCTGAAGCATTTTAAGTAAGCTCTTACATGAACATCATAAATGGAAAATTATATACCATGAAACTTTTTTCATGGACGAAAACATTAAAAGTACTATATATAAATTTTCAGGCTGTGCATAGTGGTGTGTACCTATAATCCCAGCTACTCAGGAGGCCGAGGTAGAAGATCACAAGTTCCAAGCAGCTTTGGTAATTTAGCAAGACTCTCTAAATAAAAAGGGCTGGGGATGTAGCTCAGTGGTAGAGCAATCCTAGGTATAGCAGAACAAAAAAGTACCATCTCATTTAAGTCCTACATTTTGCATGTGGATGAACAAATGAAGATAAATCTACTATTTGTTTTCATTTTTCTATTTACTCACTATGTTTTACAAGTTTTCCTATTTTTATGCCATCTCTAACTTTTGATTCAAAGATAATACAATTTAATTCATGTTTGAGCATTCTGTTTAGTTAGATTTTGAAATGTGAAAGGGGCATTAGAAGTCATTTTGTAAACCACTTTCATTTTATTGATGAGAAAATTGATACTAGAGAAGTTAGCTGATTTTCTACCATGCATGAAGCAAAAAATGGCACCAGAACTTAGTTTTTCTTATTTTTATTTTACTTCTACTATATTATTCTGCCTCTCCTCATTGTTATCTGACTAGACTAATTCTTGGGGACCTTTTTAAATCAAGATATAATGTCATTTATCTTGCTGGTTTCAGTATATTTTGACTAATCTTCCTGTTTCTCTGATTAATTCTCCAAAGAGGATTTTTAGGAATTGCATTCATTATCCGAGGTTTATAGTAGTAACATGGAAAATTAGGTTGAAATTTGGAGAGGCACATAATAAAAATCCTAGTAAGGAGTAAGAAATTTACAGTTAACAATAAGAGATTTTAGGATATATTTTAATAAGATAATTGCTGATCGGTGAATATATATATATGAAGAAGGAGAAGTTTACACCTGCTTATTTAATCACTAAACCAAAGATTGCCAAACTACTGAATCAGAATTCCTAGCGATGGTGTCTAGAAATATGAAAGAAACTCTCCAGTGATTATAAACAGTTTGTATTTTGGGGTAAATTCTACTTTAAACCTATGAACTCAACAGCTCTTACTTTAGGATACTATCTGTTTTATTAAACTTGAACTTCAAAAGAAGCAAAGTAACTTCTCAGGATTATAGAGAAGCAGTTGCTAATGTTTTGTACTATTTTCAAAGATTTGTTAGGTCATTTTAAATTAAGTGAAGGCTAGCAAAGTATTCAGTTATGGGTAGCTAAGAAATATGATACATAGAATTTGATAAGAGAAAGTGCAAATTCCTTTTTCCAAGAGAGGAAATTCATGCTTACTGCTGAAATACCTCCTCTAGTTAGGAAAATTTTGTTTACTCTTTTTTTGAAAGTGAATAGAATGCCCTTAGGCTAATCAAATGGAATGATATGAAGATGTTAAATTCTTCTCTTAAGCATAAATAGAAATAAACACACCTTTATCTTCATTTAAGAAACTTAATTATAAAATTCTACATAAATTATTTTGAAGTAGAAATTTATTTGGGGGTGATAACTCAACTTACAAAATAATTTCAGTATATCTTTTCCAGTTTGAATGCATTTTCTAAAATGAGGCCTGCTTTGGAGTAGTACCTTTAACACTAAGGAGTCTTACTGAACATTCTCCAAGGAGTGAAGGAAGCTTTGCAAAAATAAAGTATTATCTTTATTCTGAGGATTGGAGTGGTAAGGAATGCCTAAAAATCACTTTTGGGTAGCTTCATGGTTTCACTCTGAATATACATCATCTAGCAAATATTTACTAAGTTCCTAAGCATAGGCCAATAACTACACAAGGTACTGGGGAAAAAAGCAAAAACTACACTACTTATGATCTATTGAAGACCAGTGTGAGGTTCCTGGTTTTGTAGGACTCTTGAGTGTACTGACCTGAGACAAGGACTTGTCACTCATTCATTGAATCTGAAAATCAGCTTGGAAAGAAAATGAGTACACTGTTAGGAAGTTTAAAGAGTGGATGATTTCACTCCAACTATTCAGAGCTAATGTGTTCATACATTATTTATTAAAAAACAGGATATTGGAAAAACATTGATAAGATGCTGAATCCAATGGATATTTAACCTCATGTAATATTTTGCATGGTTAACTACTACTCTTTCTTTTCCTTTTGTTTTGATGATATCACACTTCTGGTTTTCTCTAGTCTTTTTGGCCTCTTGCTATTCAAAATCTCCTTTATAGACCTTTTCTTATTTATTCCTTGAAGGCTTGTGCTTCTGCACCTTCTGTCTTTTCTTCTTAGTCTTCATACAAATCTGTGGGTGATTTTCCCCGCAGTATTTACAAGTGTAGGCACTAGATTGATTTTTGCTAGCTTGGTCTACCCAGCATGCTGTCTAGCATGTAGTAGAAATACCAGTTAAGAAATATCAGTGAAATGAGTAAAAGCTGTTTTATTCATCTGCTTATCCTTCCTAGCCCACCTCTGTCCTAGGGTTTAGCAACTATTGACTTTTCTTTTAACCTTACTTTTTCTTTTCTGCTGTATTGTTTGAGACGTGAAAATGCTTGCCTAATTATTAATTTTGGAATTGTCTACTTGTACAGTTTTGAGTTCTTTGAAAGAATGTCATCATCAGTTGAATAAATCACAACAAGTTAGATTTGGGGGAAGACATAAAAGCTTTTCTTTCATGTTTGAGCATATTTTCTACTTTGTAAAAACATTTTATCTCAGAAGATTGAATAATCAAGTTTCTGTGAAAAAATATTTTTGGGGTCTTTTGAAGATGATATAAATAGATGTGTAGGAACCTAAGTAAAATACTGCCCCATTTTGTGGCAGTTTTGTCTTCACTTTGTGCTTTCTGTCAATTCCTCCATCCATTCATTACATAAAAATTTACTGAGGACTTCCTATGCCTTAGACACTGTTTTAAGTGCTATGGATATTGCAGGGAGCCAAGTTCATAGTCTATTGGATGAAGTGGACATAAACATGGAAAATAAGTCATAAGTGCTGTGGAGTAAAGTGGATTAGGTACAGAGAAGGATCAAGGAGGGGGGTGTTATTTTGTATAGGATGACTAAGAAGTCTTCTCTGTTAAGATATTTGAGCAAAGACCTGAAGGAAACAAAGGAATTGTTTATGTGGTATCTCCAGAAGGAGAAATTGATGTTTATATCATTGGAAGGAAGGGCAATGTGATGCCATAAAGAGCAAGGAGGAGCATTTAGGAGGTCAAATTAAAACATAGAACATTCCTTCAGGCCTTTGAAGATAATCCAGAGATAAGATTTTAAGCAGAT